TAATAATTTTCTCTTGTGTACGTTGTATAGTCCTCCTAAAAGTAGACACTCCTTTTGGAATCGTTTTAGACTTTCACTAGAAACAGCACCGTATGAAACCCTATATATAGTAGAAGTGGGTAGTACCAACAACGATCTTTTAGTTGCAGAAAATACGCATGTAATTCATGAAATCATTAACTCCTTTCACTTGACAAACGTTATCGACAAATCGACACATTTTGGATGCACGTGCTCTACACTCCTTGACCCTACCCTGCTCTCTGACACGTGGCTGTTTGATGTAATCGACATAGAAATATTTATCACCACCTAGCGACGAGTTTTTATGCACATATAAATGGTGTTCTCGGTCAATATTCATATTCGATTCCAATTTTTTAAAATTATGCACACATTGATAAAAACATATGATTCTTCACCGTATCTGACGTACCAGCTGTAGAACTTAGGACGGACGCCACCATATCTGACGTACCAGCTGTAGAACTTAGGACGGACGCCACCATATCTGACGTACCAGCTGTAGAACTTAGGACGGACGCCACCATATCTGACGTACCAGCTGTAGAATTTAGGACGGACGCCACCATATCTGACGCACCTTTCAACATAGACGATATCAATGGCATTTCAAAATCGTTTTCTTTTAGTAAAGCTGTGGGAATTGACACAATTAATCATTATGTGTTAAACAACCGTATCTGTTGTCTTTCCTTTCTCTCTTATCTTCAGATCTTCTTTGGAAACTGGTATCTTTCCAAAACAGTGGAAAAAGCATTAGTCATCTCATTATTTAAAAATAGGAATAACATGATGTTTCGAATAACAGACGAATATCATTGCTCAGCACTTTTAGGAAAGTTTTCGAAAGATGAGTTGTAAAATATTTAAATAATCGTTTACTAGAACATTCCCTTATTTATAAATAGTAGTCTGGTTTTCATTCGGGTCACTCAACAGTGCATCAAATTAATGAATTATATCATAATTTATGTAGAAATTTAGAAATGTCTCACATGTTAGGGTTTCTGTGATATTTAAATCGTTTGATCATGTGTGACACAAGCTGAGGTGAAACTAGCAAACTACGGTATTTCAGGTAAATTGTTGTATTAACTGGGTAATCAAACTAGTGGTGGACAGCGAAACGTCTTTGTTACTAATGCCGGAGTTCTTCAAGGCTCGGTATTAGGGCATCTTTCATTTATACTATATATTGAAGATATTGCTGTTAACCGTGAAAGTTTATGTAAACTATTTGCAGATGACACCTGATTAATCACATACCTCTTCTAAAACCATTGAAACAACGATAAATTATGATCTAGATAAAATTAAAGTTTGGGCAGATAAGTGGTTAGTTAAGTTAAATCCTACTTAGAGATCTTACTTGTTTCAACTTTGATATTGATCATGTAATAAAGTTCAATTATGTTGATGTTACATTTGTAGAAAACCATATGCACACGGGAGTGATATTAAACAAAACTGCAAATGGAGAATCCTTGTTGAGAATATTTGTAAAAATGTGACGAACAGTAAACAAAAAGTATAGTTCATACATTCTACCTTGGCTGGAATACTAATGGAATATCAGCCAATTTGACCGTTTTGCCCCGCCCATCGGCCCCGCCCATCGGCCCCTGAGGGTCAGCCAGAATCAAGATTTGCATACCATCGAGTCTGTATCTTTCGCTCAAAATTCCAGCAGGACATGCAGCCATACCCACAGTTGAAATCTGATTGTATTCGTTTCTCCATTTCAAACAAATCCAAGTTAGTGCGCGGGGATCTCGACTGTTTCAATGTTTTGATCAGAGGAATTAAACAAAATGGGGCTAGAGATTTAATTTAATTCTGAAATCATGTGAGCATCCATCTCTTCATTTCTAACAAAGGTATATGTAGTTATAAGGAGGTGGGGGAGGGGGTGTCTCAACTGTTTTCACGATTTGACACCAGGGGAAAGATTCGTGGACTAGGAAGGATCCCGGGGCTAATCTTTAAGTGATGTGTGTATTTATCTCTCCATTCCACAGATATATACGTGGTAATACGGTAGGGATGTCGACAGTTTCCCGATTTGACCGCGGGGGTCAATTTTTAAGCCATATGTGTACTCGCTTATCCACTCCAATTGTATATGTAGTTTTAAGGTAGGAATTTCAACTGTTTCTATGATTTGACCCCCGGGCTTGGATCCCGGGGAGTAGGGACGACCCTTATGAAGTATTGCATAAGATCTCAACTGCTTCTGCGTGTTGACCCACGAGCTAAGACCCAAGGGACTAGGGACGATACCAGGTGTCAGACTGCACAGGGTCTGGGGGTTTCAATTTGGTTCCATTTTCGACGACTAGCCACTTCCATTTTTTATCGATGAAAATTTTCACAACGGGTCCATTTTCAACGTGGGTCCTGTTTCAGTGCAGGTCATTTTCAACGTTACACCAGCTCTCCAAGCAATTATTAGAGAAAACTTGATAGTTAAACTGCAGTCTACTTAGTAATCCTTCATGTAACGTTTAAACTCGATTCATTTTTCAATTCGACGAAATGATGATATAAATTCAACTCTACTTTTCTTTATTTATCTATTTTTACACCTTTTTCTGGGTATATTTTGATGTTCCCTAACTTCATTTCTGACTTTACACACCTTTAGACCCCTTACAACCACAAAAAACCTAGAAGACGAGACGACACCTAGATGACTCCTTGACGAGCCGCCTAAAATGGTTGAGATCTCTTGACTAATTTGAAATTATCCTGTCAATGATAAGATTTTGCTCTGTGGAATGATCTGTAAGTGCCCATTGATCTGGGACTGAAATTGGTTTCGTTCTAATTTGGTGGACTTTTTGTCTTCATGGATTTCGCGACTTTTTGAATCTCATTCAGTCGGACACCAAATCCTGCCCGGTTTTTTTTTCGATATATGCTTGTATATGTGGTCTCCGACGTTCGCTCTGGGTATTTTATCTTAAGGGTAGACTAGGATATCCCACAGGGTTTTGTAAGGTTTCGTAGCGTTTGCAATACCACGTTAAATTCTCTGAATGCTATGTGACAACCCTTAGACGTCAATGTTGACTAACTGTCCGTTCATTTTTTCTTAATGTTTCGTGTCTTAGTATTGTCTTTGTCTTCCTTTCCTCAGTGAAATCACAATATAATGTTGTCTTGTGTTGTCAGTCAGAATGACGTCATAACAATGTTAGACTGACGTTATTTAATGTGTAATGATAATGTTACACTTGATTATAAAATGGCGCCTTCAACGGCACAAAGAAAAATAGACGTAGTTCAAAGTACCGGAAGTGACGTCACTACATAGGACAAACGTTCTTCAGCGTTCTAGGGCAAACAGATGTTATTGAGGATAAGGCATTTCCTTCACAAGAGTGACGTCACAGCAAACGCGCAAGAAGGACGATAAGTAACAAGATACAATACTTCAACGTCAGTAAGATAAAAAGCATGAATACTTTAAGAAGTTCGCGAGCCCGAGTAACACTTCCCAAATCACAAACATGTCAGACGACGTCGAAAGATTACCCGACTAACAGAGGTTAGCGCGACAGAATGAAACTTTCAAATGATTAACTTAGCAGACCAAGTACACAAGGGCTAACAAAGGTTGAAGTGCCCGAGAGTGTCATTCTCCCAACCACATATCTGTCAAACGAAGAGATTAAGTCAAAAGTATAAAATTGAGACTGTCAGACGTTCTCGAAACAATTTCCAACAATAGGCCTGTTATATGAAGATAAAGAATACTGAGACTATACGAGCATTAAGCGCCAGAGTGATATAGACCTGGTCGACGAAGTTAAATAATACTGAGACTAAACGAGCATAAAGCGTCAGAGTGACACAGACCTGTTAGACGAAGTTAAAGAATACTGAGACTAAACGAGCATTATGCGTCAGAGTGACACAGACCTGTTGGACGAAGTTAAAGAATACTGAGACTAAAGGAGTATTAAGCGCCAGAGTGACGCACTCAAAGACACGCAGTAAAAGGTACACCGAGAGGAATAGAGGTTAAAGATTCGGGTGACCTTCTCCAAACTACAATCACTTACGTATAGAGTCCGAATGACATTCTCCAGATCACAAACTTGTCCGACAAAGTAAAAAACATACCGAGACTAATAGAGGTGACCGCGTCTCATTGACCCTTTTCAAACCACAAATCTGTCGGACGAAGTAAGACATTTACTGATATAACAGAAGTTAAAGTATCCGAAAAACACTCTCCAAGCCAGAAATCTAACCAAAAAAAGATTAAGCCGACTGAAAGAGATTAACGCGGCTGAGTGACACTCTCGTAATAACAAACCTGTCAGACGACGTCAAATTATACCAAAACTAATAGAGGTTAAAGTTCCCTATAGTAACACTCTCCCAGCCACAGGTCTGTCTGATGAAGTCAAAAGTATTACATTGAGACTAACAGAGGTTATCGACTCCGACTGGCAATCTCATTTTCCAAACAAACCTGTCAGGCGAAGTCAAAAGAATAGTGATATTTTTTCACTAACAACAGATACGCTAGACATATGAGAATCGTGAAACGAGGCATTCGATTTTTCATTTAAAAAGGCTCGCTACCGAGGTAACTTTAAAAATTCGAGACGACTTTCAAAATAACACGTGAAATAGAATTTTTTTTTATATATCATAACTTAGATACTTTTGTAACATTCTTGAAAATAGCATTTTATTAGACTGTTAATCTAAATTAGTGATATTCTCCATCTATATATTGTATTTTTAATGACGTCATAATGGAAACAATGGGGATTTTCATTCCACCAATCACCTCTCACTACGTCATGTTACACATTTGTCATAACAAACATATGAAATGGGTGTTATTACAATGATAGTAGGGGGCTTATGTGATAAAAAGCATTTAATTCATTTAAAGCGATTCACAATGGACGTTGGTTTAACGCCACTGATTTTTTTAGCGACAACACAAGAAACACTGGACTAACTTCATTTAATTCGCAAGTGTGACATAAGAATAGCTGTATAACAGGAGACCCGAAGGGGATCTTGGCGCCCAACACCCGAGGTCACATAAGTTTTATCTTTTCCCAGAACCAGCTTTCATGATGTTACATTTGATCTGTCTAATATTAACGTTTTATTGCAGATAAATGTAAAACCATAATTCCAAGAAATTCACTTTTATAGGCAATTAGGGAACGCTGGAATCCTAAATTTTACACTATTTTTAGTTATGATATTGTGACTTTAACCAAATTTACAATTCGAGGGCATACTATAGGTGTTTTAATACTAATTCTCCAGAACTAACGGCAATAAAGATCATAAGCCTCACTCGGTCATTTACTGGGTCATCTTAAGTTTCAAGAAAACACTCTCATTTGATTAAAGAGAATCCTTAACTTGTCGCTGACTGCCATCATGATTGACCGATCAAGCTCGAAACGTGTCCTGTACAACTAGGATATAAACTGGCCAAGTCTTCAAAGTTTGTAGCGATAGAGCGGTAACCATGGCAACCTGAAGGTCGATCAGTACATACCCTCTTGGTAGATCTGAGAAAATATTGGTTAACTGGTTTGTTTGCGGGAGGAATTGACGAACAACGGACGAAAGGGAAAAGATGACCATAATCAGATGTCAGTATCGACTGACCACTAAGTTATCTATCACAAAATGTACACCAACAATTAGATAAAGGCATGTATGATACTGAAACATTGACTTAATGGACTCTTAACTGCCTTAAAGTGAATAAGATGGTGTACCATCAACGTATATTAATAAAGTTTACATATATATATATATATATAACAATATACAAATAAAACATATACATCATTTTTTTATATCTATGAGCAATCCTCTTACATATCTCTCACTATACATTCATAACGAACCCTTTTTGTCACGCGAACCTCAGATTTAAGCACTTGTAACATATAACCAACGGAACACGAGATATCTGGATCAGCATGTCTATCAGATACAAAACCCAATCAAAGAACTTGCCTGTTCATGGTGTCAAATATATCATAATTAATATATAACCACATACAAGGGAAACCCATCGTTACTGTGTAACATGGCATTTCTAGATATCACAAGACAGAAAAACAAAAAAATACGGCAAGGATTTGAACAATCTATATAAAAATAAATCCATGATATTATCAATAAATAAAATAAAATGTCAAAAAAAATACATTGACAACTTGATCAATAAATATAAACAAAAAAGAGACTATAAGAGATCTTGGTACACAAAAAAAGTGCTGTAATTATTTATAACATGAAGACACACGAAAGAACTGAGAGTGTCTGACGTAAATCCGATAAACAAGCGACTAACAAATAATAAACCCTATATTCAAGTGTCTTATTGTACACTAAATCCAACAACGTCTCGGCCAGGTAAAACAATAATGTCCTTTCTTACATTAAACCACATAACAGAAGTCTTACCAGGCGTTAAACGTTATTCAAATGTCTGACCATACCTTGAACACCATGTAACCAAGTGTCTAACCATACGACGGACCGTGTAACAATGAGTCTAGTCATACAATCGACCGTGTGACCAAGTGTCTAGGTGACCGTGTGACCAAGTGTCTAGTCATATGACGGACAATGTGACCAAGTGTCTAGTAATACGATGGACCATGTGACCAAGTGTCTGGTCATATGACGGACAATGTGACCGAGTGTCTAGTAATACGATGGACCATGTGACCAAGTGTCTAGTCATATGACGGACAATGTGACCAAGTGTCTAGTCATATGACGGACAATGTGACCAAGTGTCTAGTCATATGACGGACCATGTGACCAAGTGTCTTGGCATACGACTGACCATGTGACCAAGTGTCTAGTCATACGACGGACCATGTGACCCAGTGTCTAGTCATATGACGGACCATGTGACCCAGTGTCTAGTCATATGACGGACCGTGTGACCAAGTGTTTTGCAATACAGTGGACCAAGTAACCAAGTGTCTGGTCTGACCAAACGGTGAACCATGTGACATTGTGTTTAACCATATGGTTAACCATCTAACCGTGTGTCTCACTGTACCTTAAACCATATAACTAACCGCCTTACTAACATAAAACAGGTTAAAATGTTACCATACGTTAAACCCAATAATATCGTGTCTTATGTTACGTTCAGTCATATAGACACGTGTCTAACAATATGGTGAAACCGATCATATCCTCTATGAATCAGGTTACCGAACAGGTATGTGTAACGAAAAACTTGATAGCTTAGTGTCTTACAGTTAAAGTCAATTACAGTATGTCTCACAATACGTTAAGATAATAGTGATTCATTAAGAGAACTGAACAAACATATTCTGAATCCTCAGTCACTTTTAATTGTTAATAAGTTACTAATTAATACTAAATATAACCCAGACGAGATTTCGGGATCATGTCGAGCCTGTTTTTCAAAACATAGTGATCGTTATATAGAACTTATTACCAAGTAATGTGCACGCGCACTGTTTTAAAGTGGAACAACTCAGGCGTAGTACAGTGGTAGAGTTTACAAGAGACGCGGGACAAAGTAATATAAATGTGATACAATGGAACATAGTAGTGGAACAGTGTTACACAGTCGTGGTTCAGAGTAATACAGAAGTGGTACAATTTTATACAGACGTGGTACAGTGTTATACAGACGTGGTACAGTGTTACACAGAGGTGGTACAGTGATACACAGACGTGGTACAGTGTTACACAGAGGTGGTACAGTGATACACAGAAGTGGTACAATTTTATACAGACGTGGTACAGTGTTATACAGACGTGGTACAGTGTTACACAGAGGTGGTACAGTGTTACACAGACGTGGTACAGTGTTACACAGGCGTGGTACAGTGTTACACAGACGTGGTACAGTGTTATACAGACGTGGTACAGTGATACACAGACGTGGAACAGTGTTACACAGGCGTGGTACAGTGTTACACAGACAGTGTTACACAGACGTGGTACAGTGTCACACAGACGTGGTACAGTGTCACACAGACGTGGTACAGTGTTACACAGACGTGGTACAGTGTTACACAGACGTGGTACAGTGTTATACAGACGTGGTACAGTGTTATACAGACGTGGTACAGTGTTACATATAAATGGTTCAGTGTTACACAGACGTGGTACAGTGTTACACAGATGTGGTACAGTGTAACACATACGTGTCTCAGTGTTACACAGACGTGGTACAGTGTTATACAGACGTGGTACAGTGTTACACAGACGTGGTACAGTGTTACACAGAGGTGGTACAGTGTTACACAGACGTGGTACAGTGATACACAGACGTGGAACAGTGTTACACAGGCGTGGTACAGTGTTACACAGACGTGGTACAGTGTTATACAGACGTGGTACAGTGTTATACAGACGTGGTACAGTGTTATACAGACGTGGTACAGTGTTACACAGACGTAGTACAGTGTTACATATAAATGGTTCAGTGTTACACAGACGTGGTACAGTGTTACAGAGACGTGGTACAGTGTTACACAGACGTGGTACAGTGTTATACAGACGTGGTACAGTGTTACACAGACGTGGTACAGTGTTACACAGACGTGGTACATTGATACACAGACGTGGAACAGTGTTACACAGGCGTGGTACAGTGTTACACAGACGTGGTACAGTGTTACACAGAGGTGGTACAGTGTCACACAGACGTGGTACAGTGTTACACAGACGTGGTACAGTGGTACACAGACGTGGTACAGTGTTACACAGACGTGGTACAGTGTTACACAGACGTGGTTCAGTGTTACACAGACGTGGTTCAGTGTTACATATACACGGTACAGTGTTACACAGTCGTGGTACAGTGTTACATATACACGGTACAGTGTTACACAGACGTGGTACAGTGATACACAGACGTGGCTCAATGTTACACAGACAGTGTTACACAGACGTGGTACAGTGTTACACAGACAGTGTTACACAGACGTGGTACAGTGTTACACAGACGTGGTACAGTGTTACATATACATGGTACAGTGTTACACAGACAGTGTTACACAGACGTGGTACAGTGTTACACAGACGTGGTACAGTGTTACATATACACGGTACAGTATACACAGACAGTGTTACACAGACGTGGTACAGTGTTACATATACACGGTACAGTATACACAGACAGTGTTACACAGACGTGGTACAGTGTTACATATACACGGTACAGTGTGACACAGACAGTGTTACACAGACGTAGTACAGTGTTACACAGACGTGGTACAGTGTAACACATACGTGTCTCAGTGTTACACAGACGTGGTACAGTGTTACACAGACGTGGTTCAGTGTTACACAGACGTGGTACAGTGTTACATATAAATGGTTCAGTGTTACACAGACGTGGTACAGTGTAACACATACGTGTCTCAGTGTTACACAGACGTGGTACAGTGTTACACAGACGTGGTTCAGTGTTACACAGACGTGGTACAGTGTTACATATAAATGGTTCAGTGTTACACAGACGTGGTACAGTGGTACACAGACGTGGCTCAATGTTACACAGACGTAGTACATTGTTACACAGACGTGGTACAGTGTTACACAGACGTGGTACAATGTTACACAGACGTGGTACAATGTTACACAGACGTGGTACAATGTTACACAGACGTGGTACAGTGTTACACAGACGTAGTAGTGTTACACAGACGTGGTACAGTGTTACACAAACGTGGTACAGTGTGGTACAGTGTTACACAGACGTAGTACAGTGTTACACAGACGTGGTACAGTGTGGTACAGTGTTACACAGACGTAGTACAGTGTTACACAGACAGTGTTACACATACTTGGTACAGTGTGGTACAGTGTTACACAGTGTGGTACAGTGTTACAAAGACGTGGTACAGTGTTACACAGACGTGGTACAGTGTTACACAGACGTGGCTCAATGTTACACAGACGTGGTACAGTGTTACACAGACGTGGTACAGTGTTACACAGACAAATATGGTCGGTAATTTAGTGACGTGGTGCAGTGTTCATTAGACGTTGAACAGTGTTACACTGACCTGGTACAGTCTTACAAAGATGTTGTAAACACAACTGATTGTAAAGAACTATTGATGGTTTACTAGAAGTGGTGGTAGTTGGGACAGCTATTAATTAATTGACCTAATTTTGAATATCTAAAAAGTAAAGGCAACAAAAACAGTTTCTGAACATTCTCACAAAATTTCTGCTCAATGGTGGGAGTGGGATTGGAGAAGACGTTTCAAAATGAGTTTTTCAAGTTGGTGGCCATGACCGCCATTTTGTTTTTCGGACCTACCAGAGAAAACAGTTTTGGCAGGTCCATCTCTGGAATATATTCGGTAACTTTGAGCAAAATCCCATCGATGGAACATGCCAAGGAATTTAAGGAAATCCAAGATTTTGTTTTCAAGTTACAAAATGGCCGCATAAGCTGACATATTAAATTTTGACAAGGCCTAAAAATAACACTTTGCCGTTTGCCTTTTCTAAACACCCCTACATATTTTCAGCTAAATGACACCTGTGAAATTTGAGAAGTTTAGAATGCCCTTTTTCAGGCGACAGAAATAACAACACTTGGTTTTGGCACTCCCAGGATCATTTCAGGTAAATTTCAGCGGATTCCCACTGATTTAACTACTGAAGTAGTCATGCACAGCGGACGGTGGATCACGACAGACATAACAAGATGGCTATATGCCACCCTAAACTTTGGAGTCAGATGACGACCTAAAACGAAAATGGTTAACACAGGTAAACACTAACGGAATACACATGTTCATACTGCAATTCCTTCGCCACAATGTGAATCATTTGAAAAAAAAAATTACCTAGACATGTATCGTAAATTGAAATACATCATCAACGTTCAAAATATCGTAGATAAATGGCACCTATCATATCGTGGAAAAACAGAATGAAAATATTCTCGTTTCACAATGTTGATTTTAAATTAATACATCTAAATTTGACAATTCAGTTTTGATGGATTTTTACAATAACACTTACTCACTAGTTTTCATCGTATCATGTGATAAGGATGAAATAATAATAATGTTATTTGCAAAACAACACAAGGTTCGCTTTTTTCCCTAAATAAACAGTTTCCATAACATGATTATAGAAAATACTGATGGATAATTATCAATATTGAAGAGAAACATATTATCATAATTGCTGTGGTTTACTTAGTACAATCTATTTGTGTCCCATTTTAAAGGTAACAGTACATTGACCGCCGCTCTTTTGCTCGTTTTCATGAACGTCATCACACTTATTTCCGGTGCCAGTTTCGAATCCTATCGGAACTCCCTCGGCACTGTTCGTTGATTCCTCTGGTGTTTTCGACATCTCGTGATCATGATCGTGCTCGTGATGATGACGATGTTTATGGTGAAAAGGTTGTAAGGAGAACCGCCTATGTGTTTGCTTTCGGCCTCCCCTACGTTTAGAAATATGGCGATTCTCTTTTCTCATTGTTCTTGTTTTGTATATTTGCAGTTGTGTATAAAGACGCTTCAGTTCAGCCTGGAACAAAAGACAACATAAAGAGACTATATTATATATGTATTCTATTACAAAGTGATATATTTGAACGCTCAACACGGAATTCACACAAACCAGCGATATATAGATTCAAATCTTTATACGTGAAATAATTCATTCATATCACATACAATAGCTTATATATACACACCTGTAGACACTTCACACATTTAAACACTCCGCAATCTTAACACATACACCAGGTGATATATTTAGTCACACCTGTAAACACTCTACACACATACACCAAGTGATATATTTAGTCACACCTGTAAACACTCCACACCCTTTACACTTACACCAGGTGATATATTTAGTCACACCTGTAAACACTCTACACACATACACCAGGTGATATATTTAGTCACACCAGTAAACACTCCACACTCTTTACACTTACACCAGGTGATATATTTAGTCACACCGGTAAACACTCCACACTCTTTACACATACACCAGGTGATATATTTAGTCACACCTGAAAACACTCCACACTCTTTACACTTACACCAGGTGGTATATTTAGTCACACCAGTAAACACTCCACACTCTTTACACATACACCAGGTGATATATTTAGTCACACCGGTAAACACTCCACACTCTTTCCACTTACACCAGGTGATATATTTAGTCACACCAGTAAACACTCCACACTCTTTACACTTACACAACGTAGTCACACCGGTAAACACTCCACACTTTTACACATACACCAGGTGATATATTTAGTCACACCAGTAAACACTCCACACTCTTTACACATACACCTGGTGATATATTAAGTCACACCAGTAAACACTCCACACTCTTTACACATACACCAGGTGATATATTTAGTCACATCTGTAAACACTCCACACTCTTAACACTTACACCAGGTGATATATTTAGTCACACCGGTAAACACTCCACACTCTTTACACATACACCTGGTGATATATTTAGTCACACCGGTAAACACTCCACACTCTTTACACATACACAAGGTGATATATTTAGTCACACCGGTAAACACTCCACACTCTTTACACTTACACAACGTAGTCACACCGGTAAACACTCCACACTCTTTACACTTACACAAGGTAGTCACACCAGTAAACACTCCACACTCTTTACACTTACACAACGTAGTCACACCGGTAAACACTCCACACTCTTTACACTTACACAAGGTAGTCACACCAGTAAACACTCCACACTCTTTACACTTACACAAGGTAGTCACACCTGTAAACACTCCACACTCTTTACACTTACACAAGGTAGTCACACCAGTAAACACTCCACACTCTTTACACTTACACAAGGTAGTCACACCTGTAAACACTCCACACTCTTTACACTTACACAAGGTAGTCACACCTGTAAACACTCCACACTCTTTACACTTACACAAGGTAGTCACACCGGTAAACACTCCACACTCTTTACACTTACACAAGGTAGTCACACCAGTAAACACTCCACACTCTTTACACTTACACAAGGTAGTCACACCAGTAAACACTCCACACTCTTTACACTTACACAAGGTAGTCACACCAGTAAACACTCCACACTCTTTACACTTACACAAGGTGATATATTTACTCACACCTGTAAACACTCCACACTTTTACACTTACACAAGGTGATATATTTAGCCACACCAGTAAACACTCCACACTCTTTACCAATACACAAGGTGATATATTTAGTCACACCTGTAAACACTCCACACTCTTTACACATACACCAGGTGGTATATTTAGTAACACATCGAAGCATACTCTAGCTGATATACGTAGTATACTGCCAATGACAGATATTTACATATCTGTTGTGAAATGTAAATAATGATGGTACAGTTTAATGATAAATCAATATCAAGCTGTGATATTAACATTAAGTCTAACACATACAAGTAAATAGTATCTGTAGCATGTAATAACAAATAGTGTAATATTTCATAAACAACTAATCCTATTTTTTTCAAAAGTACAGTTTCGTTTGTGGTATAATTTACTGCTTATATGAGTCATTATTAAAAAAAAAGCATTGTATGTATTCATCTATTGATAGAGAAAGGTGGTCTTTATAGACAGGTGGCCTTAATGTAAAGGTTACAATGTTATAAATTGTACGTCATTCTCTTTAGCCAAGTTTGTCTGCTGATATCCTTGATTTAATTGTTTGTGGTGTCGAGCATCTAAGTTTGTACCACAAATAAAACTCAGGTTAATGTGTAGAGATATATACACAGCCAGATTTTGTATTCATATATATACATACACGAATATCCTCAGGGTCCATTTCCGCCAGACTTATTTCACCTACATCCACATCTCCGTTGGAGGAGACACCGATGTTTAACTTCATGGATTCGGGACCCATACTATCTGGTCCATCTGACGAGGAGTATGCCCTGTTCCGTAAGTGATGGTTCTCGGGCGGCCGGTGTGCATACAGAAGCTGAAAGAGAAATAGTGGTGATATCAGAGTGACTTCTGCAGCCTCTGCAGCCGGTTTGTTTGAAGGTTTAACAACAAATGACACGTTGACCTTATTTTTTGCGCAAACTTTGCATAGTTTTCATGCTGAAATTCATGATTCTAAGTCTTTTGCATACTGAGAATATGTTTTAAAGGTTTAACAAATCGAATCCCTGTGACCTTAATGAAAGGGCTAGGTCATAATTTTTAAAATTTATCGGAGGAACCTTCCTGGCAAATAGCACATTTTAAATCAATTTGGGTTTCAAGAAGCATTCACTATAAAAAAAGAACCATGTCATTTCTTCTTTCAAACTTGGATGGGCTTAATCCCACAAAACTTTCACTGAAATCCGTTCGGACGAGTTGACACCAGACGGACAACAGAAGCTGCACTACGGCGCATGCTCAATAGGCTTTCAGTGTCTTGTGTGGTAAAAAAGGTTTATGGAGTAGTTTAACAAGAACGCCATTTATTCTCTCAATAATCGGTTTATCGTGTGTTACAATCGACTACCGCAATTACAAGTATGGAGCGGTCGTTAAGAGTCACACAATGGAATTATTAAGTAACCACACAGAATCGACAGCAGGTATCCTTATCGAAGATACAAATATTAGATGACGTTCAGCATAATGTGACACATGCAGATATAATTAGAACTAAACTTACCTTGGGACCGTATATAAGTAACAGCGTTACTGTGACTGTCAACTGACAGCGAACAAAATACATAAGGAAGAGATAATCGGGATGTAGATGTAACCAGTATACATGTCTGGAAAAAAAGTAGAAATATTACAAGGGGAGACAATCAGAATGTACGTCTGGAAAAAGTCTAAATATTACAAGGGAGACAATCAGCATGTACGTCTGGAAAAGGTCTAAATGTTACAAGTGAGGCAATCAGAATGTACGTCTGGAAAAAAGTCTAAATATTACAAGGGAGACAATCAGAAGGTACGTCTGGAAAAAGTCTAAATGTAACAAGGGAGACAATCAGAATGTACGTCTGGAAAAAGTCTAAATGTAACAAGGGAGACAATCAGAATGTGCGTCTGGAAAAAGTCTAAATATTACAAGGGAGACAATCAGAATGTACGTCTGGAAAAAGTCTAAAAGAAAATTATCAATATATATTTGAACGAAAAGAAAACCAAACTATTAAAAGAGGAGTTATCAACGTACATGGGTGGTATTAAATGAGTCTATCTGGATGAAAACATGAACATATTCCAGGAATTCAAACAGGTAGCATGATGACAGATATCTATTTAGACTTTATCTATATGGTGTTAGATTATCTATTTATACTTTATCTATATGGTGTCAGATTATCTATTTATACTTTATCTATATGGTGTTAGATTATCTATTTATACTTTATCTATATGGTGTCAGATTATCTATTTATACTTTATCTATATGGTGTCAGATTATCTATTTATACTTTATCTATATGGTGTCAGATTATCTATAGGTAAAGTGGTCGGTCTTTTATCTATTTATACTTTATCTATATGGTGTCAGATTATCTATTTATACTTTATCTATATGGTGTCAGATTATCTATTAATACTTTATCTATATGGTGTCAGATTATCTATTTATACTTTATCTACATGGTGTCAGATTATCTATTTATACTTTATCTACATGGTGTCAGATTATCTATTTATACTTTATCTACATGGTGTCAGATTATCTATTTATACTTTATCTATATGGTGTCAGATTATCTATTTATACTTTATCTACATGGTGTCAGATTATCTATTTATACTTTATCTATATGGTGTCAGATTATCTATTTATACTTTATCTACATGGTGTCAGATTATCTATTTAGACTTTATCTACATGGTGTCAGATTATCTATTTATACTTTATCTATATGGTGTCAGATTATCTATTTATACTTTATCTATATGGTGTCAGATTATCTATTTATACTTTATCTATATGGTGTCAGATTATCTATTTATACTTTATCTATATTGTGTCAGATTATCTATTTATACTTTATCTATATGGTTCCAGATTATCTATAGGTAACGTGGTCGGTCTGTTTATTTAGTCATACCTAAGTGCGCTGTGGCGGAATCTCTTTTTTATCTTTTGATACATAAATAACTTGGTGTCAACTGATCTATTTATAGATATGTAAAGTGGCGTAAAATTATCCATTTATAAATTTGTAATATGGCATGAACCATCTGTTCCTTTCTAAGTGGCATGGTGTCAGGTTATCTATTTATGGATAATCAACATAAATTAAGAGGAACTAATTTACATCATTAATGTAGACAAAAATCCTATACTGATACATAGATAACGTGGTGTCATTGTGTACACTCGACCTTATATAACACACAAGTTATGTTTTCCGTTAAGTACTAATGTTACTTCCTATTTTTGGAATATTCACAAAAGGGAATTTGAACAAAAATCATACTTTACTTTTCATACAGTTTGGTGGAAAGCTGTCCATGTTGATTTCATTGTAGGAAAAGGTTGAAATAAGCGGCTGATGTATTTTGATGGGTATATAAGTTAGACAAAGTCGATAAATTTCTTCAAATTTAAAGACGTCATCAATATATCTAAAAGTGAAATTAAAGGACTTGGCAAAGCCTTGGTGATCTGTTTTGGATATGCTCTCTGATAAATTTAGTCTCGTATGAAAAATGCAGCCAACAGAGGGGCACAATCAGTTCCCAAAGGTATGCCAATGGCGGAAGATCCCATCATCAAACTCGCTGAAAATTTTATCACCAGAACTCCATCATTTTTATGATTTCGTCCTCCGTATATTTCTTCTTCGATTTAGACGTACTTTTCACAAAATCAGCTTCAATTTAGTTCACAGCCATATATTATATTGCCTGTCTCCTTTCTTAGAAAAGGATGCTCTCATAACAAAGAGGGATCGAAACTAAACTGAAAGAATAGGGTATACTGGTGTATAGAGCGGAAAACTTTAACGGTCTCACAGAAGAAATGTTTTTAGAAGATTGGCCGAAAGTTCCAAGGCAGTCTTTTAATTCCACAAGCTATTAGTTTCACCTCTAAACAGTATCACAATAAGACTGAAATCCAGATTTGATAGTGCTAAGAATGGTAGTTAATAGGTTTGTCAAAGGTTAGGTTGAAGGGCTAGACGAGCCAGCAATTAAACGTTGTTTATATGGATTCTTGTGAAGTTTATCGATCAAATATAAACAAGGGAGGTCCGTATCCTGATCATTAATAGTCAATCTAAAGGGTTGTAAAACCGAACCAAGATTAGCCAGTGTATCTTCTTATGAAAGTTTGCATAATGTATAGGTGGGGTTTTCATCATAACAAGCAAGCCCAGTTCTTTTTTTATAAAGGAAATGTAATAATGTCTGCAGACAAGAATCAAGTTATTGCACGCCTTATCTGCAGGTACAATAACATACCTGTTCATTGTGAATCTGGAAGTGTGGATTTAACATCAGGATACAGGAACGATGACCTACGTTTTGTTTTCATTTTAGACATCAAGTCGCTAATTATTTTAAGAATGATGGAACGAACAGATTTAACCCATTCAGAAAATGAGCCCAACACAGCATGTTCTTGTTTCACCCATTCCCTGGCAGAGTTTTAAACAGAATCTTGTAATCCATATTTAAATAAATTAGTGTGGTTTCGCGACCCTTCATGAAAATTATCGTGGTTACCGCAGTGTTTGCTTGTAGCAGAAATTTTGGATGCAGTTGGCTTGGAGAAACTGTAGGAAATTACAGGAGTATTTCTGTTTTGAAAGTATGATTGAATATTAGCTTGAACCGATTTTTAGTGTAAAATATTCTTGATTCTTATTTGCAAACCCTACTTTCAAATGACGAGTTCGAGCATGATGGGCAACCAATGATTTCTGTAAAGTATCCATTAGACTTTCAGATGTGACGGTACATCCACTAGATTTACGGTTATAATATAGGCTCTCTGATATATTGTTTCAGGTTTTTTTTCTTGTGGTTTTTACAGCTGTGTATTTTAACCGTAAATATTGTGCCCAGTAAATATAACCCGATTTGTTTATATTGTTTTGTTTATTTTTACTAAAATATTTGTAGAGATTGATTTCGTTTTTAAGTAAATTATTTCTTTTTGATTTTCATGAACTTTACGACGAAAACATTAAAAAAAAAGGAAATTTGGTGAAACATTTTGACATTTTTGACGTTTATAAAGGTAGCTGATATAGGTCGTTTATAAAGGTAGCTGATACAGGTCGTTTATAAAGGTAGCTGATACAGGTCGTTTATAAAGGTAGCTGATACAGGTCGTTTATAAAGGTAGATAATACATGTCGTTTATAAAGGTAGATAATACAGGTCGTTTATAAAGGTAGCTGATATAGGTCGTTTATAAAGGTAGCTGATACAGGTCGTTTATAAAGGTAGCTGATAAAGGTCGTTTATAAAGGTAGCTGATACAGGTCTTTATAAAGGTAGCTGATACAGGTCGTTTATAAAGGTAGCTGATATAGGTCGTTTATAAAGGTAGCTGATACAGGTCGTTTATAAAGGTAGCTGATACAGGTCGTTTATAAAGGTAGCTGATACAGGTCGTTTATAAAGGTAACTGATACAGGTCGTTTATAAAGGTAGCTGACACAGGTCGTTTATAAAGGTAGCTGATACAGGTCGTTTGTAAAGGTAGCTGATACAGGTCGTTTATAAAGGTAGCTGATACAGGTCGTTTATAAAGGTAGCTGACACAGGTCGTTTATAAAGGTAGCTGATACAGGTCGTTTATAAAGGTAGCTGACACAGGTCGTTTATAAAGGTAGCTGATACAGGTCTTTATAAAGGTAGCTGATACAGGTCTTTATAAAGGTAGCTGATACAGGTCGTTTATAAAGGTAGCTGATACAGGTCTTTATAAAGGTAGCTGATACAGGTCGTTTATAAAGGTAGCTGACACAGGTCGTTTATAAAGGTAGCTGATACAGGTCGTTTATAAAGTTAGCTGATACAGGTCGTTTATAAAGTTAGCTGATACAGATCGTTTATAAAGGTAGCTGATACAGGTCTTTATAAAGTTAGCTGATACAGATCGTTTATAAAGGTAGCTGACACAGGTCGTTTATAAAGGTAGCTGATATAGGTCGTTTATAAAGTTAGCTGATACAGATCGTTTATAAAGGTAGCTGATACAGGTCGTTTATAAAGGTAGATGATACAGGTCGTTTATAAAGGTAGATGATACAGGTCGTTTTAGATGTAGATTTAAACAAAATAAAAGCTTACCTTAACACATAGAATATACAAGAAACAACAGCTTCGTAACAGATTGCTGCCGAGATGTACGTTCCTTCTGAGTAATCGGACGGTGCAGCTCTCACCTTGTAACATAGGTAAATCCCAAAACACAGGAACGTTAGCTCAGCTGAAAGATAAAATAACTACCATTAGGAATGACTCTTTAAACGTTTGAAGTGAAATTTCATATCATACATCGATAATGCTAGCATCTCGAGCGCAGTGATATGTGTTCATTGATATAGATTTACATTATGAATAAAGGCCTATCACTACTTCATAGTTAATCTATATTGTATTCATGGTAATACAGATACTTTTTAGATCACATGACACAAGACAATAAGATGAAAGCCATGTTGACCTACATTACGGCATAGCCTTGCACGTCACCTCAGCTAATTCTCATTATAGACTTACATCACGTTATTATGATAATAACGATTTTCAGGTGGCTGAAACGTACATTACATATATCTCATAGACAAAAAGTAAATATATATTCTGAACATTGGGTGTTGAATTGTTTGTTTAGCCAATATTACTGCAATTTGGTTAAAATAGAATAACGTCCGTTCGAATTAAGTATTTAGATAATAAATATTGAAAAGTGTAAAGTATTATGTTTTATGTATGTTTTGTTGCTATGGTATCAGACAGGCCCAAATATTGGAGTGTTCCAAGATAGCGTTATTAGGAGAACTTTTAAAATGGGATCAACATGAGTTCGCATGGTAACAACGAACAATAGGCCCAATGGGCCTGCATCGATTACCTGTATTTAACATTTCACATTACTGACATTCAAACAATGAGTTAAAGAATTTCATTTTTTGACAACTTTTGAACCCTTAATATGGTTAAAGTTATTTCTTTTCCCTCGTATTGCCGGAAACCAACAAAAATATCGTTATACTAGGCCTTATGGTCAATCAAAAATTATTTGAATGTTTTACCAAATTCAACCCCTGTGAACTTTCAAATTTTGTAAGCAATTACGAGGTGTACATTTTTTTTACCCCAAACAGTTTTTTTAATTGATGGTGAATTATCTGCCCCTTAGATCTAAAAGATAAATTAAAACAAGTAAATATTGATGAAGATTACATATAAACAAACGAAATGTTTACGTCTATATACCCATGTAGAACTATCAAGTGTGATGATAGTTACAAAGATATTAATGAATATCATATAATTCTATATTTAGAATTTTTTTTAGTCCAAATTAAAATATATCTTATACAGGACTGGCACTGAAATTAATTTAGACACAAGAAATCTACATTATCTTCATATAGTTAATGCTAAGCAAGAGGCCCAAAGGCCTTAATAATCACCTGAGTTAAAGCTTCTTGTTATTTATCTTAAAAAGTTTGACTTTCTAACCAAGTTTGAATTAATGGAAATTACACTCAAAAATGTGATTCCTATATAAACTTTTCCATTCATGAACAGTTTATCGTATCTGGGTATTGAGAACATTTATGAAACGACAGTCAATTTGACCCTTTTTTGGCCCATCCCAACAGCCCCTGGGGGTCTAATATTAATAATTCTATCCACGTTTGAATTATTTCGAAAAGAATAAAAATGGAATTTTCCTATATAAACTACAGTTCAAAGTAGAAAATTAAAAAAATAACGTTATGTTTTGAAAAGGTTCGTTAATATATATCTGTGTGCGCGTCTTATTTATAATCCTTAATGTTTGGTCTTTTCTCAAATGAGCAATATTTCTTATTTAACTCTTTTTATATGAAAAACTAATTACAATTTTTTTTATTTATCTGTTGGTCTAAAACTCACCAGTTGTTTCTAAAGAAAATGAGTCACGTATACACACTGGCAATAAAACATACTCTCATATTATGAGGATACTAATGTTTGGTATGAGAGTATTTATGGGTTGTAGGATTGAATTAACAGATTGAAAAAAAAACTTTCCTTTTGACATCGTGCTACTATTGACATGTTTTCTGATATAAACCTTTGCTTAGTTAAGGTTTTATTCCGAGTTTTGAAATGTGCAATTTTGTTATGCAATATGCATGATTGAAGAATGCTGAAATTTCAGTGTAGAATTCCGATCGTCTTTGACTCAGAATTGAAATAATTCTTTTGAGAGTTGTACCACTAAATAAGTTTGATTTTCAAACATTTTGGGTCACATTTGTGTTTAATCAAATTATGTTCTGATAAATGCGCTGCTGCGATAAAGCAGTATTGAGTCACTACAGCCTAGAAACTACTACTGTCATCTTGAAACTTTGATAAAGAAATAAATTATTATGTAGAATATTTGTTTTTTTTTTCACTTCTCGGAGCCCAGCAATGTGAGTAATTAGACTTATTTTTAGTTACTGTCAGTAACACTGGGTGACCACAGTCAAAGACAACTTTTAGCTACCTGGTACTACTATATGAGTTTTATTAAATTAGCTCATTTTCAACACAGTACTACATAATATGGCCAGAAGGCTGGAAAGTTCCTGGGATTAATCCCATCCGACCTTGACTCATATTCAAGGTCACAGGGGTCAAATTGATTAAAACCTTCAACTTCTTATTTTACATCTATATTCCTGTGTGGAAACCCGACAAAGTTTGTGAAAGGAATAACCTTGACCCACATTTAAAGTTACATGAATCAACTTTGTTCAAATGTCGAAAAACCATCTTTTAATTACAAGAAATGACTAAAATAATCGTATATAAACCGGGCATATCATACGAATAAAAAATGCCTTAAATTGTGGTTGATATCACAGTAGTCAAATGTAAACCGTCAACTAACGTTGGTATTTCAAAATACCTCAAAATCATCATACTTGGTTGAAAGACAATGATATTTGACTGGTGGGGCTTTGGAATGACGCCTGACAAAGTTTGCGAAAACGAATGACATTGACATGTATTCAAGGTCACAGGGGCCACATTAGCTGATATTGTTGACCTTATCCGAGCTGTACATGCCATTCAGTCTTTCATCACTATGGTTTTCCGTCCCTCGCGGCGGAGCACATCATGTTTTAAGAGATAATGGATCTATTACAAAATACTTTCATCTTGGGGAGTGACTTTTGTTCCGTGGCTGTATATAGACAGAACAGACAGTCACGTGACTGAAATCAACTATTGCGGTATTCATTAACACATCAACGAATGGTAACATTTTTCCACTGCAATTGTTCTGTACTAGGTCATTAAGAAGGGAATCGTAAGGTTCGACAACTAACATTGTAGCTAACTTCAGCTTTCAGTGCCTTTATAAATGAAAAGCAGCAAAGTAAGGGATAACTGTGTATAATTAGCACAGGAGTGATAATACGTATGTTATGTCTTTAGTACCAATAAGTGTCGCTTTGTAATTTTATTGCAGTTATCGTATGTACGTAGGTCTAAGGAACTGATGCTAGCTTGTTATTTTTAGTTATCTAGTTAATATATATATTTCCAAAATATTATGTAAGTTTTATAATATTCTTGTAAATATATGCTAAAATTTTACGTTTTGAAATTTTACTTTTGATTTTCAATGAAATGGATATTATCTATAAAATGGGTTATGTAACTCACTCCGCAATTGATAAAGGTGGGATATTACGTAGTATAGGCATAACTGAGATGATGAAAAACTGATACGAAAGCTTACGGGGTTACTAATTTGTAAATTACGGTAGGGTCATGTAGCCTAAACCTTCCTCAGCGCTCGACGATATCTCGTTAATGGCTGACGTTTGAACTGTCAAACTACAACGAAAGTAGCTTTGAAAAGATGCCAAAATTATCCGAGCACTCTTATTTGATATACTGATAGCAAAGTCCAACCGACAGAACAGATTTCATTTCGCATGAAATCTGTAGACAACCATAGATAGATGAGAAAATTATCGAGAACATCTGCAAGATAATTGTTGACGGAAATGTTAATATTTTGCTAGATCACGTGTTCATTAAACTGCGTTATACCGACGTTTTTTATTGGCATATGAAACAGCTGTTTTACGTGTGAGCAAATGTACTGATGATATGTACAGCAATGTCCTCTCTTACGTCTTTGGGATCGAGGCAAAGCGAATCGGAAAAATGAAAATATGATGAAAAGTTACATGAGTGGTGCATGAGCCTTAAAAGTAAATTCAAACCGTACAGTATGTTTTTTTCAAAAGCAATACGTCAAATTATACCTTTCAATCGCAAGACTGAAGTTTCTGTAAACCAAATAGCAATTCAAAATGAAGAACACAATGTCTGCCTGTTGTTATTCTTAATGACGTAAACATGATTTTATGATTTTTTTTCTATTATAACAGAGCCGAGACAAAAGTTCCTCCATAGAACAATAGTAAACCCAAATATAAATCTAGAACTTTAGAATTGTCAGACGCGACAGCTTCGGTTATAAAAAGTAAAAAAAAAAAAAAATCTACAAAATGCTGCTGAGAAGTCAAGAAAGCAGATGAAGTGGGATTACCCAGTCATCAAAGGACTGAGATCAACAGCGATACAGTGTCTGAACTGCGGCTCACCACAAGGCCCCGCGAAACATAAAACTTGCTTATAATTTCAAAAAGTCATTTTAATATAGTGTGCATTTCGTGCAAACAAATTAAATCCTACATGAAGGTAGTACATAGGCTAAAGAATATGTTGGCCTGAAGTGATGACGGAACACCTATAGGTGAATATATCAGCAGTATCACCGAAGTCCCCTACAATCAAGGTAGCAATCAGGTCCATATGCACACCTTTTGACACAGTATCTCCTGTCAACTTATTGAACCAGAAAGCATGTGCGATGGTGTGTAAGTCAAAATCCTGTTAGGCTAGGGATATTCTGATTTCATACAGTGAAGGAAAGTCCATGGAATGGAAAAATTGAAAGGAAGGTAGAAGAAATTTCACAATGATTCAACTGCACAACCCAATAGGTGTTCACTATTTATCTGACAAGGCGGAAAAAATCAACAGGTTGTTGGACGGAGAAATCGTAAATAAGGTGGAGGGTACTCCCACTTCTTGAGGACTATCACCAATTGTGATACCAACAAAGACAAATTAACTCCTGTGTAGATATAGAGGACAACAGAGGAGTACATTCATGACCTCCATGATGTTAACTTGATTTGTGAAGTGGATACCATCAGTTGGATCTTGCAACAGTCAATGAATATGGCAACATTTAAAACATATCTTGCTATCTTCTTCATAATAAGGCTAACGGAATACCAGCTGTCGCGGATATACTCCAAGAAACCATACAGCCGTTAGTGGTTGAAGAACATTTCAGACAGGGAGACGAAAGAGGAACATGGTGTAGCGTTCGACAAAAATGTCTGCAGAATACGTGACACTGGTTTTATCTAAACAGTGCTAAATGAGTTCCTAAAAATTGGGAGAAGTAACACCTGGTTGAACAGGTTAAAAACGACTAATACTCATCCATATGTCACAATTTATAATATATCTAGCAATATTGATTATTACCATTAAGTTATTGTATAAAATATATGTAAATTATCCGGAATCTTCGTATCCATCTTAACGTCATTAGGAAACACGCACGTCATTACTGACGTTTCGATATCAAACTTCTTCGTATTTTGCAAGGTATACTGCAGAAAGACACAAAGGCGGAACATTCACCAGATCCGAGCAGAAGCAATCAGCGTCCAAGATCAACAAGATTAAAAAATAAAATGGACGTGTATGTGCACGTTTTACTTACCTACTTCTATGACGTAGTCCCACCAACCAACTTTACAAACTGAGTATTTTAACCCATCTCCAGGGGTGGTTCCTATCTCTAATAGGGCCTTTCCTTCGCGTAAATGGTCAAGGGTAACTGTCGTCCATGCTGACATATATCCAAGCACGACGACCACCACACACAACAAGTATTTCAGTAGGTCCTTATCCCGGACGTGCACTCTGTGTGCTTTACGTGACTGGAACTCCGCCAGTAATCTACAATACAAAGGTTATAAGATCAGTAGCTTGTCCCATTAGGCAATTAAATTGACCCCATGTACATATTGCATCTCAGTCAAGCATTATATTTGTAACATAGATATGCTCTGATAAATATTTGTACCGTACTCTAAATATAGCATTGCATAAACAAAACTCAAAGGAAGAATGCAAAATCTTTTATTATTTAAAAGAGGTACGAAAAATAAATTTGGTCCAAAGTATACAATCATTAGTCTTTAAAATAATTCACAATAAAACAGTAAACACGATACCACATCTCCTTACCTGTACACTTTTAATATCAAGGCGCCGTAGACTATTGCGAAGCCCAGTTCCCGGAACCACGGGATCACCAAGCATATAGTAGCTGTTGGCTTAAAGTACTGAAGGATTACCTGGAAATGGATATAATCGTCTGTCAATTCCGATTATGTATGTCAGACGACTCCGTGACAACACAAAGATGTCAGACGACTCCGTGACAACACAAAGGTGTCAGAGGACTCCGTGACAACACAAAGATGTCAGACGACTCCGTGACAACACAAAGATGTCAGACGACTCCTTGACAACACAAAGATGTCAGACGACTCCGTGACAACACAAAGATGTCAGACGACTCCATGACAACACAAAGATGTCAGACGACTCCTTGACAACACAAAGATGTGAGACGACACTGTGACAACACAAAGATGTCAGACGACTCCGTGACAACACAAAGATGTCAGACGACTCCGTGACAACACAAAGATGTGAGACGACTCCGTGACGACACAAAGATGTGAGACGACACCGTGACAACACAAAGATGTCAGACGACTCCATGACAACACAAAGATGTGAGACGACACCGTGACAGCACAAAGATGTCAGACGACTCCTTGACAACACAAAGATGTCAGACGACTCCATGACAACACAAAGATGTCAGACGACTCCTTGACAACACAAAGATGTCAGACGACTCCGTGACAACACAAAGATGTCAGACGACTCCATGACAACACAAAGATGTGAGACGACACCGTGACAGCACAAAGATGTCAGACGACTCCTTGACAACACAAAGATGTCAGACGACTCCATGACAACACAAAGGTGTCAGAGGACTCCGTGACAACACAAAGATGTCAGACGACTCCGTGACAACACAAAGATGTCAGACGACTCCGTGACAGCACAAAGATGTCAGACGACTCCTTGACAACACAAAGATGTCAGACGACTCCGTGACAGCACAAAGATGTCCAAAGCCTCTATCAGATCAAACAGATTAGACCCCTCCACCAAGAACATGCAGATGTCAGACGCTTCCATACTGACAGACAGATGTCAGACTATTACATCACAACAAACTCATCGGATAGCCCCTTCACTTTAAACCGATGTCAGAAGCCTCTATCCGAACACACTGATGTCAGAAGCCTCTATCTGAACACACTGATGTCAGTAGCCTCTATCTGAACACATCGATGTCAGAAGCCTCTATCTGAACACACTGATGTCAGAAGCCTCTATCCGAACACACTGATGTCAGAAGCCTCTATCTGAACACACTGATGTCAGTAGCCTCTATCTGAACACATCGATGTCAGAAGCCTCTATCTGAACACATCGATGTCAGTAGCCTCTATCTGAACACACTGATGTCAGAAGCCTCTATCTGAACACACCGATGTCAGTAGCCTCTATCTGAACACACCGATGTCAGAAGCCTCTATCTGAACACATCGATGTCAGTAGCCTCTATTTGAACACACCGATGTCAGAAAACTCTACCTGAACACACCGATGTCAGAAGCCTCTATCTGAACACACTAATGTCAGAAGCCTCTATCTGAACACATCGATGTCAGAAGCCTCTATCTGAACACATCGATGTCAGTAGCCTCTATCTGAACACACCGATGTCAGAAGCCTCTATCTGAACACACTAATGTCAGAAGTCTCTATCTGAACACATCGATGTCAGAAGCCTCTATCTGAACACACTAATGTCAGAAGCCTCTATCCGAACACTAATGTCAGAAGCCTCTATCTGAACACACTAATGTCAGAAGCCTCTATCTGAACACACCGATGTCAGAAGCCTCTATCTGAACACACCGATGTCAGAAGTCTCTATCTGAACACACTAATGTCAGAAGCCTCTATCTGAACACACAGATGTCAGAAGCCTCTATCTGAACACACTGATGTCAGAAACTGAACACATCGATGTCAGAAATGTCAGAAGCCTCTATCTGAACACACTGATGTCAGAAGCCTCTATCTGAACACAACACACTGAACACACCGATGTCAGAAGCCTCTATCTGAACACACTAATGTCAGAAGCCTCTATCTGAACACACTAATGTCAGAAGCCTCTATCTGAACACACTGATGTCAGAAGCCTCTATCTGAACACACTAATGTCAGAAGCCTCTATCTGAACACACCGATGTCAGAAGCCTCTATCTGAACACACTAATGTCAGAAGCCTCTATCCGAACACTAATGTCAGAAGCCTCTATCTGAACACACTAATGTCAGAAGCCTCTATCTGAACACACTGATGTCAGAAGCCTCTATCTGAACACACTAATGTCAGAAGCCTCTATCTGAACACACTGATGTCAGAAGCCTCTATCTGAAGCCTCTATCTGAACAACACACTGAACACATGTCAGAAGCCTCTATCTGAACACACACACTGATGTCAGAAGCCTCTATCTGAACACACCGATGTCAGAAGTCTCTATCTTAATGTCAGAAGCCTCTATCTGAACACACCGATGTCAGAAGCCTCTATCTGAACACACTGATGTCAGAAGCCTCTATCTGAACACATCGATGTCAGAAGCCTCTATCCGAACACTAATGTCAGAAGCCTCTATCTGAACACACTGATGTCAGAAGCCTCTATCCGAACACTAATGTCAGAAGCCTCTATCTGAACACACCGATGTCAGAAGTCTCTATCTGAACACACTAATGTCAGAAGCCTCTATCTGAACACACTGATGTCAGAAGCCTCTATCTGAACACACTGATGTCAGAAGCATCTATCCGAACACACCGATGTCAGAAGCCTCTATCTGAACACACTGATGTCAGTAGCCTCTATCTGAACACACTGACGTCAGAAGCCTCTATCCGAACACACTGATGTCAGAAGCCTCTATCCGAACACACTGATGTCAGAAGCCTCTATCTGAACACACTAATGTCAGAAGCCTCTATCTGAACACACTGATGTCAGAAGTCTCTATCTGAACACACCGATGTCAGAAGCCTCTATCCGAACACTAATGTCAGAAGCCTCTATCTGAACACACCGATGTCAGAAGCCTCTATCTGAACACACCGATGTCAGAAGTCTCTATCTGAACACACTGATGTCAGAAGCCTCCACCACAGCACACTGATGTTAGACGCTTCCATAATAACACACAGGTGTTAGACGCTTCCATCATATCACACTGATGTTACACGCTTCCATCATAACACACACATGTTAGACGCTTCTATCATAACACACTGATGTTAGACACTTCCATAATAACACACAGATGTTAGACGCTTCCATCATAACACACAGATGTTAGACGCTTCCATCATAACACACAGATGTTAGACGCTTCCATCATAACAAACAGATGTTAGACGCTTCCATCATAACATACAGACGTTGGATGTCTTCATCAAAACACACAAAAATCAGATGATCCCTTCACAACACATAGATGCAGATGAATAAAACACAAGATAAATATTTCTGACAACTTAATTATAACTCAGGAGATCCCATCAAAACACAGATATCAAACGACCCAATCAAAACACAGATATCAAACGACCCAATCAAAACACAGATATCAAACGACCCAATCAAAACACAGATATCTAACGACCCCATCCAAACACAGATATCAAACGACCCCATCCAAACACAGAAACGACCCCATCAAAACACAGAAATACTACGACCTCTTCACAACAAACAGATGTTGATAACATAACAACACCCAATGTCAGACGACACCGGCAGAACACATGTGTCACACAACTTAATCACAACACAGATAGTAGACGGTCTCCATTACAACACAAAAATGATAGACGACTCAATGACAACACACACAGATGTCAGACGACCTCATTACAACACACAGATGTCGCATGCCTCCACAACACACAGATGTCGCACGTCTCCATGATAACATACAGATGTCAGACGACCTCATTACAACACACAGATGTCACACGCCTCCATGACATCACACAGATGTCGCACGCCTCCATGACAAAACACAGATGTCAGACGACCTCATTACAACACACAGATGTCACACGCTTCCATGACAACACACAGATGTCGCACGCCTCCACGACAACACACAGATGTCAGATGACCTCATTACAAAACACAGATGTCGCACGCCTCCATGACAACATACATATGTCGCACGCCTCCATGACAACACACAGATGTCAACGACCTAATTACAACACACAGATGTCGCACGCCTCCATGACAACACACAGATGTCAACGACCTCATTACAACACACATATGTCGCACGCCTCCATGACAACACACAGATGTCGCACGCCTCCATGACAACACACAGATGTCGCACGCCTCCATGACAACACACAGATGTCGCACGCCTCCATGACAACACACAGATGTCAGACCACCTCATTACAATACGCATATCAGGCGATCTGATCACAACACACAAATATAAAACGACTCCATCACAACCCACAGATGTCAGACGAACATATCACCACACACACATATCAGACGACCCCGTCACAACATATAGATGTGAGATGGTTCTACAGCACATGGCAACAAGTCCCTGTTTATACGTCTGCCACTAATGTGCTGGACATCTCGCCCTTGTACATGTACTACATTTAATCATCAGGAAGAAACGACTACTTAGAGCGGTGGCCAATATATCGATTTTGTGAACAGGCCGGGCCGACGATATTACACTTGTTAGCAAGCTTTGCGTGTCGACCCTATGCCATCCAGTAGGGTGCATCCTATTTTCTGTCGACCATAGTTCCTATTACAAGTACAATGCACTCGATTTGCTATTGTCATATCTAAAGTTAACATATATTGCAAACTCCTCAGTCCTATAGATAGATTCGACGCTTCTCTCCTAAAAACAATCCATGCGGGTAAGACGTTTGGATGGGAACTACAGCAAAAATAACAAAAGACATATTTAATACAACATACTATTAACTCTCCCTCTCCCCCCCCCCTCCCCCCTCTCTCTGTTTCTCTGTCTGTCTGTCTCTTTCTCTGTTTGTCTGTCTCTGTCTCTCTGGTCTCTGTATGTCTGTCTGTCTGTCTGTCTGTCTGTCTGTATATATATATATCTGTCTCTCTGTCTCTGTCTTTGTTTCTCTCTCTCTTGGATATATGTTCGTGTGTGAGTAAAGAAAAGATATCAACTTCACTGTGACAGGCATTATATCACGTTACAGAAGTTCAACACTGTTTAGACTGGAAATCATTCACAAGCAATGGCGACGTCATCGAGTGCTTACGTGTATAATGACGTCACATCTTCTTTTCATGATGTGATATAACTATCAGAGACTTGCAAGGGGAGATAATTCATGGCAATATCCAAGACCTGAAATCATTGAAATGAGAAGGCTTTCCGCACTACCCAAACGACTCACCGTTGCGTACAAAAGTACGGCTCCTATCAGTATGATTTCCAGCAGTGTCCACATTCCACTGACCATTACCTGTAAACAGAAAGATGACATTGAAAAGTGTGATGTTTGATATATCAAAAAGATATTCAGTGTTAACTTTAACGATATTGCAGACATAATGCTTATGTAAACTGTGCATAACATTCACATTTGTCCCATGCTAAGGCTTCTAACCAAATTTGAAGACATTTTGTTTGGCTGATAATCACAAAATCCAAATAGAACAATTAGCGACCAATGGAGACAAACATATTTATAAAATCTGAGAAAGATCAATTCAGTACTTCTCAAGAATTAGTAATAACATGCTCTAAAGTGAGCGTCTGTCAGTCATTTTGTCTTTCTGATCAGTCCCAAAATCATGAATCATAAACGCATAACAGGGATGAAGGGATTATCCAGTACCGTTCATTAAATAACAATAACTGTGAACGAAAGACGCCATATCATCTCGTAACGTCTCTCACACTAGTTATTTGTGAACGAAAGACGCCATATCATCTCGTAACGTCTCTCACACTAGTTATTTGGGACGAAAGACGCCATATCATCGCGAAACGTCTCTCACACTGGTTTTTTGGGACGAAAGACGCCATATCATATCGTAACGTCTCTCACACTGGTTTTTTGGGACGAAAGACGCCATATCATCTCGTAACGTCTCTCACACTAGTTATTTGGGACGAAAGACGCCATATCATCGCGTAACGTCTCTCACACTAGTTATTTTGGACGAAGGGCGCCATATCATCTCATAACGTCTCTCACACTGGTTATTTGTGAACGAAAGACGCCATATCATCTCGTAACGTCTCTCACACTAGTTATTTTGAACGAAAGACGCAATATCATCTCATAACGTCTCTCACACTGGTTTTTTGGGACGAAAGACGCCATATCATCTCGTAACGTCTCTCACACTAGTTTTTTGGACGAAGGGCGCCATATCATCTCATAACGTCTCTCACACTAGTTATTTGTGAACGAAAGACGCCATATCATCTCGTAACGTCTCTCACACTAGTTATTTTGAACGAAAGACGCCATATCATCTCGTAACGTCTCTCACACTGGTGTTTTGGGACGAAAGACGCCATATCATCTCGTAACGTCTCTCACACTAGTTTTTTGGGACGAAAGACGCCATATCATCTCGTAACGTCTCTCACACTAGTTTTTTTGGACGAAGGGCGCCATATCATCTCATAACGTCTCTCACACTAGTTATTTGTGAACGAAAGACGCCATATCATCTCGTAACGTCTCTCACACTAGTTATTTGGGACGAAAGACGCCATATCATCTCATAACGTCTCTCACACTGGTGACTTGGGACGAAAGACGCCATATCATCTCATAACGTCTCTCACCCTCGTGATTTGGGACGAAGGGCGCCATATCATCTAATAACGTCTCTCATATTGGTGATTTGGGACGAAGGATGCCATATCATCTCATAACGTCTCTCATATTGGTGATTTTGGACGAAAGACGCCATATCATCTCATAACGTCTCCCACACTAGTGATTTGGGACGGAGGGCGCCATATAATCTCATAACGTCTCTCACACTGGTGATTTGGGAAGAAGGGCGCCATATCATCTCATAACGTCTCTCACAATCGTGATTTGGGACGAAAGACGCCATATCATCTCATAACGTCTCTCACACTGGTGATTTGGGACGAAAGGCGCCATATCATCTCATAACGTCTGTCACACTGGTGATTTGGGACGAAGGGCGCCATATCATCTCATAACGTCTCTCACACTGGTGACTTGGGACGAAGGACGCCATATCATCTCATAACGTCTCTCACCCTCGTGATTTGGGACGAAGGGCGCCATATCATCTCATAACGTCTCTCACACTCGTGATTTGGGACGAAGGGCGCCATATAATCTCATAACGTCTCTCACCCTCGTCATTTGGGACGAAGGGCGCCATATCATCTCATAACGTCTCTCACACTAGTTATTTGGGACGAAAGGCGCCATGTCATCTCATAACGTCTCTCACACTGGTGATTTGGAACGAAGGATGCCATATCATCTCATAACGTCTCTCATATTGGTGATTTTGGACGAAAGACGCCATATCATCTCATAACGTCTCCCACACTAGTGATTTGGGACGGAGGGCGCCATATAATCTCATAACGTCTCTCACACTGGTGATTTGGGAAGAAGGGCGCCATATAATCTCATAACGTCTCTCACACTGGTGATTTGGGAAGAAGGGCGCCATATCATCTCATAACGTCTCTCACAATCGTGATTTGGGACGAAAGACGCCATATCATCTCATAACGTCTCTCACAATCGTGATTTGGGACGAAGGGCTCCATATCATCTCATAACGTCACTCACACTTGTGATTTGGGACGAAGGATGCCATATCATCTCATAACGTCTCTCATATTGGTGATTTGGGACGAAAGACGCCATATCATCTCGTAATGTCTCTCACAATCGTGATTTGGGACGAAAGACGCCATATCATCTCATAACGTCTCTCACACTGGAGATTTGGGAAGAAGGGCGCCATATCATCTCATAACGTCTCTCACAATCGTGATTTGGGACGAAAGACGCCATATCATCTCATAACGTCTCTCACACTGGTGATTTGTGACGAAGGACGCCATATCATCTCATAACGTCACTCACACTGGTAATTTGGGACGAAAACGCCATATCATCTCATAACGTCTCTCATATTGGTGATTTGGGACGAAGGATGCCATATCATCTCATAACGTCTCTAACACTTGTGATTTGGGACGAAAGGCGCCATATCATCTAATAACGTCTCTCATATTGGTGATTTGGGACGAAGGATGCCATATCATCTCATAACGTCTCTCATATTGGTGATTTTGGACGAAAGACGCCATATCATCTCATAACGTCTCCCACACTAGTGATTTGGGACGGAGGGCGCCATATAATCTCATAACGTCTCTCACACTGGTAATTTGGGACGAAAACGTCGATATCATCTCATAATGTCTCTCACACTGGTGATTTGGGACGAAGGACGCCATATCATCTCATAACGTCTCTCACAATCGTGATTTGGGACGAAGGGCGCCATATCATCTCATAATGTCTCTCACACTGGTGATTTGGGACGAAGGACGCCATATCATCTCTTTACCTATATCACTCTCGATAACAAGTATTATGCGATCTTGATAGTAGAAATTTCTTGATATACAAAAATCTATTTGTGATAAAAATATCAACATCCCCACCTCCAACTTGATTGAATTTTAACAATGAAACAACACTCTTGCATTCCAAGCCGAACGCGAGCAAATGTCCTGCTGTGAGACGCGCTTTTAAGTACCGCTCATAGCCAGTAACCACACCGACAGCTGGTCTAGAAATGGGCAGAGTTAATTTAAGATGGTTTAGATGATGACTATGACGAAACTTATATAATTCCGGATCACTGATGAAACGGGAGACCAATCTGACCTGTATACCTTACCTAGTGTTAGGAAAATGTCAGAACAATGTTTATCTTCAAGTATGTAAAATAGATCGGTGTATTCAGTTTTATCAACAAGAGGTATATAAGGCCTGCATCGCTCTGTTTGATATATCCACTTTCACTTTAAATATTTCATTTAAAATTACCTTGTTACATTTCCCTCTAAAAGATGAGGAAACTAAATTTGTACAAAACCACCTTAACCGAAATATGATCGAAACTCTTTCATTTCCACAAAAGGAAATGATTGCTAAAATTAATATCTAGTTGTATCAGAAAAAAAGACTGACAAGCGATTCCCTCATTTCCCCTTGTAGGCCCCTTTATCATATCGGAGATGAGGACATGGGGGTCAAACACACCGTGGATACAATTTAACCTCTTCTCCTAGGATGCTGCTGACAAACTTTAGTCAAATTACACTTTGTCGTTCGTGACTAATATAGGGTTTAGGTGAGGGGGGTGTGTGTGACTGGCGGACGACGGACGTCGCAAAGGATCGCAGAGCCAAAAATAGCATGAAACGTGAAACACTTATATTAGAGATAAAGTTCCGATGAAAACCTGTCGTCAGTAAGTAAGAAAAGGATTTTGTTACGCTACAGTCCATTCAATCGATTGGGTCATACTCAATGAGCACCGATCAGCAATCTGTTTTAGTCAAAGCTACTTCAGGGTTTCTTAGGGCGTGTTTTACAAGGTACACGTTATAATAGAGCGTATATTATAGGGTACATGTCATTGAAGGGCATGTCTTACACGTTACAGAATATTGTAATACGTGTCTTACAAGGTACAGGTCATTGTAGGGCGTGTCATACACGTTACAGAATATTGTAACACGTGTCTTACAGGGTACAGGTCATTGTAGGGCATGTCTTACACGCTACAGAATATTGTAACACGTGTCTTACAGGGTACAGGTCATTGTAGGGCATGTCTTACACGCTACAGAATATTGTAACACATGTCTTACAGGGTACAGGTCATTGTAGGGCATGTCTTACACGCTACAGAATATTGTAACACATGTCTTACAGGGTACAGGTCATTGTAGGGCATGTCTTACACGCTACAGAATATTGTAACACATGTCTTACAGGGTACAGGTCATTGTAGGGCATGTCTTACACGCTACAGAATATTGTAACACATGTCTTACAGGGTACAGGTCACTGTAGGGCATGTCTTACACGCTACAGAATATTGTAACACGTGTCTTACAGGGTACAGGTCACTGTAGGGCATGTCTTACACGCTACAGAATATTGTAACACGTGTCTTACAGGGTACAGGTCATTGTAGGGCATGTCTTACACGTTACAGAATATTGTCACACGTGTCTTACAGGGTACAGGTCATTGTAGGGCATGTCTTACACGTTACAGAATATTGTCACATGTGTCTTACAGGGTACAGGTCATTGTAGGGCATGTCTTACACGTTACAGAATATTGTCACATGTGTCTTACAGGGTACAGGTCATTGTAGGGCGTGTCATACACGTTACAGCATGTCTTACCGTGTACAGGTTATTGTAGGGCGTGTCATACACGTTACAGCATGTCTTACCGTGTACAGGTTATTGTAGGGCGTGTCATACACGTTACTGGGTACAGGTTATTGTAGGGCGTGTTTTACATGGGTACAGGTTATTGTAGGGCGTGTCATACACGTTACAGCATGTCTTACCGTGTACAGGTTATTGTAGGGCGTGTTTAGTGGGTACAGGTTATTTTAGGGCGTGTTTTACTGGGTACGGGTTATTGTAGGGCGTGTTTTACTGGGTACAGGTTATTGTAGGGCGTGTTTTACAAGGTAGAGGATATTTTAGGGCGTGTTTTACAGGTTCGGGTTATTGTAGGGCGTGTTTTAGTGGGTACAGGTTATTGTAGGGCGTGTTTTACTGGGTACAGGTTATTGTAGGGCGTGTTTTATTGGGTACGGGTTATTGTAGGGCGTGTTTTACTGGGTACGGGTTAATGTAGGGCGTGTTTTACTGGGTACAGGTTATTGTAGGGCGTGTTTTACTGGGTATGGGTTATTGTAGGGCGTGTTTTACTGGGTACGGGTTATTGTAGGGCGTGTTTTAGTGGGTACAGGTTATTGTAGGGCGTGTTTTACTGGGTACATGTTATTGTAGGGCGTGTTTTAGTGGGTACAGGTTATTGTAGGGCGTGTTTTACTGGGTACATGTTATTGTAGGGCCTGTGTTTCCGCTGTATCTGTTTGTTTTTCCTTCAACGAGACTTAGCGGTCTTGACGGTCACTAGAGATAACTAATATTTAATACAAAGGTTAAAGGGTAAGTAGCTTTCATGAAGAAGAAATTGTGACATTGATGAAAGTAAGCCAGTGTCAATATCTGTATACCATCAAAACTGTCACCCTATACTGATAATTCTTACTTATTTTCATTGGGAAATAAACAACATTAAGTTCAAAGGTATCTTTTAATGAAAAGCAAGGAAAAATGTGAAACTCATTTTGGTAAAGCACCTGAAGTCACTTCAATCCATTAAGAGCATTTGATTCTATCATACCTGAGTGTTGAGAAGATTTTTGAAATTTAAGTCAATTGAGCCATTTTTGCCGCGCCCATAGGCCCCTGGGGGTCAGTCATTTCGCCGTCGCCCTTCACTCATTATTTTAACAAAGTTTGAAATATTTCCAAATGAAATTGAAATAATAATGCTCAAAAATCTATATTTCCTATATAAACTATAGTAAACTAGACCTCCTCCCCATGGGGAAATGTGAAACCCTGGAACCATAAAATTCACAATTTTGGGTAAGCACTTTAAGACGCCTCCATCCACTTCCCAGTAATGCTTTCAAATATTAACCGCTTCTCTCTATTGAACCCTTCCCCACCAAGTGAGCAATTTTGATAAAGTTTGGTCAGAAACATCCTTGGGTGAAGGAGAATCAATTTTTTATAACATTGCTTATCTCAAATGCTGATTTGGATCATAAAATAGAAATAGAGATTTTAATGGTGTAAATATTGAGTTCGTGAACAGCCGTCAACATTCAGGAGTATTCAGCGAGTCGAATTCGAACTGTCATATAGCATATATAACTATCACAGTAGCTAAACGATATGGTGTCCTTAAATATCCTTAATAGCATAAAAAGAATAAAAATTATCCTTAATAGACTAAATAGACAAAAAATAGGACCATTATTTTTCCCGTCTTAAAATATTGCTGTGAGTTTTGGAATGGTTGCAGAAAAACGAAAAACTAGAACTTGAAGCAATCAAATCGTATCATCACTGGTCTCCCTACAAACAGACAAATTCTTTATAATGAAACGGATTGGTAACTCCTATCCTACGGACAAAGCTATTGAAAACTTCAAATGTTCTTCAAGATACACAATGATATTACTCCTTATTATCTGAATACTTCACCCCTCCCCCCCCCACCCTCACCCCCACCCCCCATTCCCCTCCCTTGTTGCTAACCATTCTCTACACAATCTCCACAATGCAAGAAATCTATGATATTTACCCAGTAATAGGTAAGGATTATGTAACTTATTTTTTCCCTCTACAATAAAACAGTGGGATCAATTACCCCTAGATAGCCCTAACCACAGTTTATCATTCTCTGCTTTCAGATAGGTTAAATATTATATAGATTTATCTTACATATATGTACCTAACTTGTTTTTTTTATGGTAAACGGAAAAATAATATCTTACACGTGAGATAAAGGCACGGTGATTAGATATCTATTTAGATCCGAGTTTGTTACTGATCAACGTTGTCACTGTAGTAATAGAACACATTTATCACCCCCTTTTTAAAATATAATACAATCTTCAATCAACTTTATGGATATATATACTCCTCTCACTGTGACTCTGCTACTTTTTGGAGGCCCAAATCTTTCTAAACAAGAAAACGAATGATTTTGTATGCACACACAGCAGTAAGTTAAGGATACTAACAGGTTTTAGGTTCTGTGAGAGTATGTTTTAAAGTCCTGTAATAATGCAAATACGCCACCTTCAATTTTGTTTATATAGACATGTAAGTTTTAATGTAAGTAAATGTCTTTGTATCAGTTGTATAACGTGTATCAAAACCCGTTGCAAATAAAATACAATAAAACGATGGCAAAAAAGGGGCAAAGCCACAATTGGCCGGGTTGCGGGATGAATGCAATGTTATATATCGTGCTCAAAACAAAGTTTCAGCCAATGAAAAGCTATCACGCTCAAAACAACATTTCAACCAATGGGAGACAAAGGCTGCCATCTTGGATTTTCCACGCCAGACTGTTGAAAATGACTGAATTCCAAAGCCCGGAAAATCAAGAAAAAACGTCCGGAATGAATCCTAAATTAATAGGTGCACATCTTTAACATATATATAAACATCCTACAAAGTTTCAAGCTTCTACGTCAAAAACTCCAGGAGAAGATGATTCTACAAAACCGGTACCCCTTTTCCCCGCCCGCCCGCCCGACATTCAACATACTATAACCCGGATTTGCACTATGTGCACCCCGGCCAAAAATCTACACTTTCGAGCCATGAAAATTTTGATAATGGACCGGTATATATCGCGGTTTCAAGCTATAAATGATATTTTTTTTATTGAATGATGATGATGCAAAATGTTTGTTATACACTTCTCTCCTGATCACTTAACTAGTGTTTAACACTTTCAGAGTGGTCGGATGGCGCAGTGGATAGCGTACTCGCCTCTTATGCCTTTAAAGTTACACCACAACTTAATTCGATCGACTTGGGTTCTGTAAAGCTGAATACAGCATACAAAAATATATGTAATTCAACAGTTGCTGACAACCGCCTGTGGTTTGGAAGGTGATTGCATATAATATCACGAAAATATGCAAATAAAGATTATCCATCAATCCATCCATCCATATATTTATCCTTCCTTACTTACCTTTGTTTTACGGAGACGAATCACTGCCACTGCAATAACAAGCGTTACTGTGATACAGAAACTTTGTATTCCTAAAGGTATACCACGCAGTAGTATATCATAATCTGCCATACAAGGCGTGCTATCAACACACTGTGTACAGCCACGCAGACACGGCAAACACTGAAATCCTTTCCCGGTAAAATTAGTTCCATTGTTGAGGCTGTCCATATAAACACTTTCTAAGAGAGATCCCGCGTAAAATTGACCAGAGTTGCTCGTGTTGGGGAAATAGAAACCTTGCCGACAAACACACACATAACTTCCTAATGCTAACCCATGGCCAGGTTTATTTTCACACTGAAAAAGAATTAAAAAATGTTTATAGATTGTCTCAAATCCTGTGACATGAATGCATATCATTATGAGTTTGTACATACACTGACAGGCATCATCAAAATTAACACTTTGATCAAACACCAAAGCCTATAGCACAAAAACTTTCATCACTACATGAAACTACAAGTTACACCCTTATATACTACCCATATCTTGTTTTTCAACTAATTCCATTTCAACTGAAGACTGAAGAAAAACTTGTAACCTTTCGCTGAGATGATTTGGCGTTGAGGAGATACCCGTGTCTACTACTTTCTCTTTCCCTCCGCCATCAAATCTGTTATAGTGTTATTTTCAACTAACAAAGTTAACTTGATTTTAAAGACATTTCGATTACTTATCAAACTCGCAGGCCTCGTGAAATGTTATAAAACAAAAGTAAGACGCTTTTATCACATAACTCAGGAAAGCCATAATCTGGAGGATAAAACGGAGGCAGCCATTCTGTTGTGCCATTATCGATTTATGAAGCAAATCAATATCTGACTCGCGCAGCCATCGGTTAACGTTCCAGAGTACAGCATACTTGTGATATATACGAAAAAAATATTTCATGGCCAAATTTGCAGGATTATCTAAAAACAATACCATAAACTAATACCACCAATACAACATCAAAATATAACTCACTTCAAAATCTTAATAAATATTTAACATCCTAATAACACAAAATATAACATTTAAATATTACATAATATAACATTCTTATATAGCACAATACAACGTCCTAATATAGTACAATACAACGTCCTAATATAGTGTAATACAACGTCCTAATATAGCACAATACAACGTCCTAATATAGCACAATACAACGTCCTAACATAGCACAATACCACGTCCTAATATAGCACATACCACGTCCTTATATAGCACAATACAACGTCCTAACATAGCACAATACAACGTCCTAATATAGTACAATACAACGTCCTAATATAGCACAATACAACGTCCTAATATAGCACAATACCACGTCCTTATATAGCACAATACAACGTCCTAATATAGCACAATACAACGTCCTAACATAGTACAATACAATGTCCTAATTTAGCACAATACCACGTCCTTATATAGCACAATACAACGTCCTAACATAGTACAATACAACGTCCTTATATAGTGTAATACAACGTCCTAATATAGCACAATACAACGTCCTTATATAGCACAATACCACGTCCTTATATAGCTCAATACCACGTCCTAATATAGCACAATACAACGTCCTAATATAGCACAATACAACGTCCTTATATAGCACAATACAAAGTCCTAATATAGTACAATACAACGTCCTAATATAGTACAATACAACGTCCTTATATAGTGTAATACAACGTCCTAATATAGCACAATACAACGTCCTTATATAGTGTAATACAACGTCCTAATATAGCACATTACAACGTCCTTATATAGTTCAATACAACGTCCTTATATAGCACAATACGTCCTAACATAGCACAATACAACGTCCTAATATAGCACAATACCACGTCCTAATATAGCACAATACAACGTCCTAATATAGCACAATACAACGTCCTAATATAGTGTAATACAACGTCATAATATAGCACAATACAATGTCTTAATATTGCACGATACAACACTTTACTATAACACGACACAACACTTTACTATAACGCGACACAACACTTTACTATAACACGATACAAACACTTACTATAACACGATACAACCCTTTACTATAACACGATACAACACTTTACTATAACACGATACAGCACTTTACTATAACACGATACAACCCTTTACTATAACACGACACAACACTTAACTATAACACGATACAGCACTTTACTATAACCCGATATTCCCATTTTAACGCAATACATCATTGTTATACATCGTAAAATGATAAGGCTTTCTCTAAAGTGTGTCCAGTTTTCTATGTAGTGAAATCATGTTTTCAACTGTCCTTTTTGTCGTTAAAAACTTACTTGTGTGGTTTCCGGTGGACATTTGTCAGAAAAGGAGAAGAGTCCGTAATCTGTGTTACACTGATTGACGTCACGACTGTCGAGGTCAATGTCTACAGTTACCACACCACTGCAATGTAAAATTCAATCAAAAGTGATTTCAGAACAGATTTTCATGTAATTGTAAACGCCATTCACAACAAATATTAGTATTAGGTTTGTTATTCAATATTTACGTTAGCACATCGTTCAATATCTGTTAACACTCACGATAGTACTCATGTTATAGGACCTTTCAGTACTCACAGTGACACATAGTTCATGCTTTATGTTAACACTCAGTATCTTACTTATGTTAACACATCCTATCTTACTTATGTTAACACTCAGTATCTTACTTATGTTAACACACAGTGACTTACTTATGTTAACACTCAGTATCTTACTTATGTTAACACACAGTATCTTACTTATGTTAACACACAGTGTCTTACTTATGTTAACACACAATGTCTTACTTATGTTAACACTCAGTATCTTACTTATGTTAACACACAGTGACTTACTTATGTTAACACACAGTATCTTACTTATGTATCTTACTTATGTTAACACTCAGTATCTTACTTATGTTAACACACAGTATCTTACTTATGTTAACACACAGTATCTTACTTATGTTAACACACAGTGTCTTACTTATGTTAACACACAGTGTCTTACTTATGTTAACACACAGTATCTTACTTATGTTAACACACAGTATCTTACTTATGTTAACACACAATGTCTTACTTATGTTAACACACAGTATCTTACTTATGTTAACACACAGTATCTTACTTATGTTAACACACAATGTCTTACTTATGTTAACACACAGTATCTTACTTATGTTAACACACAGTATCTTACTTATGTTAATACACAGTGACTTACTTATGTTAACACTCAGTATCTTACTTATGTTAACACACAGTATCTTACTTATGTTAACACACAGTATCTTACTTATGTTAATACACAGTGACTTACTTATGTTAATACACAGTGACTTACTTATGTTAACACACAGTGACTTACTTATGTTAACACACAGTATCTTACTTATGTTAACACACAGTATCTTACTTATGTTAACACTCAGTATCTTACTTATGTTAACACACAGTGACTTACTTATGTTAACACTCAGTATCTTACTTATGTTAACACACAGTATCTTACTTATGTTAATACACAGTGACTTACTTATGTTAACACTCAGTATCTTACTTATGTTAACACATCCTATCTTACTTATGTTAACACACAGTATCTTATTGATGTTAACACAGCGTATCTAACTTATGTTAACACACCGTATCTTACTTATGTTAACACAGCGTATCTAACTTATGTTAACACACCGTATCTTACTTATGTTAACACATCGTCTCTTACTTATGTTAACACATCGTCTCTTACTTATGTTAACACACCGTATCTTACTTATGTTAACACACCATATCTTACTTATGTGAACACACAGTGCATTACTTATGTTAACACACCGTCTCTTACTTATGTTAACACACCGTATCTTACTTATGTTAACACACAGTATCTTACTTATGTTAACACACAGTATCTTACTTATGTTAACACACAGTATCTTACTTATGTGAACACACAGTGCATTACTTATGTTAACACACCGTATCTTACTAATGTTAACACACAGTATCTTACTTATGTTAACACACAGTATCTTACTTATGTTAACACACCGTCTCTTACTTATGTTAACACACAGTATCTTACTTATGTTAACACACCGTATCTTACTTATGTTAAGACACAATGTCTTACTTATGTTAACACACCGTCTCTTACTTATGTTAACACACCGTCTCTTACTTATGTTAAGACACAATGTCTTACTTATGTTAACACACCGTCTCTTACTTATGTTAACACACAGTATCTTACTTATGTTAACACACAGTATCTTACTTATGTTAACACACCGTCTCTTACTTATGTTAACACACCGTCTCTTACTTATGTTAACACACAGTATCTTACTTATGTTAACACACAGTATCTTACTTATGTGAACACACAGTGCATTACTTATGTTAACATTATGTTAACACACAGTATCTTACTTATGTTAATACACAGTGACTTACTTATGTTAACACTCAGTATCTTACTTATGTGAACACACAGTGCATTACTTATGTTAACACACAGTATCTTATTTATGTTAACACACAGTATCTTACTTATGTGAACACACAGTGCATTACTTATGTTAACACACAGTATCTTACTTATGTGAACACACAGTGCATTACTTATGTTAACACACAGTATCTTACTTATGTTAACACACAGTATCTTACTTATGTTAACACACCGTATCTTACTATGTTAACACACCGTATCTTACTTATGTTAACACACAGTATCTTACTTATGTTAACACACCGTATCTTACTTACGTTAACACACAGTATCTTACTTATGTTAACACACAGTATCTTACTTATGTTAACACACCGTCTCTTACTTATGTTAACACACCGTCTCTTACTTATGTTAACACACAGTATCTTACTTATGTTAACACACAGTATCTTACTTATGTGAACACACAGTGCATTACTTATGTTAACATTATGTTAACACACAGTATCTTACTTATGTTAATACACAGTGACTTACTTATGTTAACACACAGTATCTTACTTATGTTAACACACCGTCTCTTACTTATGTTAACACACAGTATCTTACTTATGTTAACACACCGTATCTTACTTATGTTAACACTCAGTATCTTACTTATGTTAACACTCAGTATCTTACTTACGTTAACACACAGTATCTTACTTATGTTAACACACCGTCTCTTACTTATGTTAACACACCGTCTCTTACTTATGTTAACACACCGTCTCTTACTTATGTTAACACACAGTATCTTACTTATGTTAATACACAGTGACTTACTTATGTTAACACTCAGTATCTTACTTATGTTAACACACAGTATCTTACTTATGTTAACACACAGTATCTTACTTATGTTAACACACAGTATCTTACTTATGTGAACACACAGTATCTTACTAATGTTAACACACAGTATCTTACTTATGTTAACACACAGTATCTTACTTACGTTAACACACCGTATCTTACTTATGTGAACACACAGTGCATTACTTATGTTAACACACAGTATCTTACTTATGTTAACACACAGTATCTTACTTACGTTAACACACCGTATCTTACTATGTTAACACACCGTATCTTACTTATGTTAAGACACAATGTCTTACTTATGTTAACACACAGTATCTTACTTATGTTAACACACACTATATCTTTCTTATGTTAACACACAGTATCTTACTAATGTTAACACACAGTATCTTACTAATGTTAACACACAGTATCTTACTTATGTTAACACACAGTATCTTACTTATGTTAACACACAGTATCTTACTTATGTGAACACACAGTGCATTACTTATGTTAACATTATGTTAATACACAGTGACTTACTTATGTTAACACACAGTATCTTACTTACGTTAACACACAGTATCTTACTTATGTTAACACACAGTATCTTACTAATGTTAACACACAGTATCTTACTTATGTTAACATTATGTTAACACACAGTATCTTACTTATGTTAATACACAGTGACTTACTTATGTTAACACACAGTATCTTACTTATGTTAACACACAGTATCTTACTGATGTTAACACACAGTATCTTACTATGTTAACACACAATATCTTACTTATGTTAACACTCAGTATCTTACTTATGTTAACACATCGTATCTTACTTATGTTAACACACCGTCTCTTACTAATGTTAACACACCGTATCTTATTTATGTTAACACACAGTGTCTTACTAATGTTAACACACAGTATCTTATTGATGTTAACACACCTTATCTTACTTATGTTAACACACAGTATCTTACTTATGTTAACACACACTATATCTTTCTTATGTTAACACACAGTATCTTATTGATGTTAACACACCGTCTCTTACTGATGTTAACACACCGTCTCTTACTGATGTTAACACACAGTATCTGACTTATTTTAACACACACTATATCTTTCTGATGTTAACACACAGTATCTTACTTATGTTAACACACAGTATCTTACTTATGTTAACACACACTATATCTTTCTTATGTTAACACACAGTATCTTACTGATGTTAACACACAGTATCTTACTATGTTAACACACAGTATCTTACTGATGTTAACACACAGTGCATTACTTATGTTAACACACCGTCTCTTACTTATGTTAACACACCGTATCTTACTTATGTTAACACATCGTCTCTTACTTATGTTAACACACAGTATCTTACTTATGTTAACACACACTATATCTTTCTTATTTTAACACACAGTATCTTATTGATGTTAACACACCGTCTCTTACTAATGTAAACACACACTATATCTTACTTATGTTAACACACAGTATCTTACTTATGTTAACACACCGTCTCTTACTTATGTTAACACACCGTATCTTACTTATGTTAAGACACAATGTCTTACTTATGTTAACACACAGTATCTTACTTATGTTAACACACACTATATCTTTCTTATGTTAACACACAGTATCTTATTGATGTTAACACACCGTATCTTACTTATGTTAACACACCGTATCTTACTTATGTAAACACACACTATATCTTACTTATGTTAACAAACCATTTGGTGCTTGGTTCTTATTTCATCACTTCATCTGTCACTCATAAAACTATCACGCACCAAATTTAACATTACCCCCGGTGTAGCAAGGTATTGTTAAGCATAGGGAGATGAACCGGGGTTAAAACACCATAATGGTGAAGTGAGGCACTTTCCATGTTGTCTGCACTTTCCTTCATGCTGTCAACATCACAAACATCTACCACTTATCTGTCAACACCACAAACATCTACCATTGATCTGTCAACATCACAAACATCTACCACTAATCTGTCAACACCACAAACATCTACCACTAATCTGTCAACACCACAAACATCTACCACTAATCTGTCAACATCTACCACTAATCT